TCTGATGGGCTCTGTAGGCAGGAGGTGTACACGGCCGTCTCTGATGGGCTCTATAGGGAGGAGGTATACACAGCCGTCTGATGAGCTCTGTAGGGAGGAGGTGTACACAGCCGTCTGATGGGCTCTGTAGGCAGGAGGTATACACGGCCGTCTCTGATGGGCTCTGTAGGGAAGTGGTGTACACAACCGTCTCTGATGGGCTCTGTAGGGAGGAGGTGTACACAGCCGTCTTGGACAGGGCGGTCTTGATGGCATGACAAGGAAAGTGGTGTACAGGGCGATCTTGGGTGCCTTACTTATCTTAATTTTTACCAGTGTGAAAATTAAGGATAAATCAGAGTTACAGCAGGGATTTAACAAATAGGAAAAAAAAAAAAAACACAGGGTGGATCCATGCGGTTTGGAAACTTAACTTTGAACTATTGCGTTCAACTTTTGATTCACCATCCTCTTCTTCCTTTGTTTTTAACGCCCAGTGGCTGTGGGTCTGACATTTTTGGGTAGAGGTGGCGGAGGAGGTATAGGGACGGCGTGGGAACACACCGTCGTGGGGTCTGGGCTTTCTGAGCTTTAGGTTGTTCTGTTTCCTTGTCCAGTGACGTCCACGGCCCGTGGCATGCGTTCTGTGCGTCACACTTTGACCTGTTTTGCATCATTTCATGAGTTTAGACTCCTAAGAGCATGTGGTTTCTATATATGACTTTCGCTGTTGATTGAGAAGCACAATGTTAATAGATGACGTGGTGATCAATACGTTTTTATCTTAAAGAATGTAAAGACTGTAGGTTGCGAAACATTATTTTGGAGAAATGGGACTCTCCCGTCATTGTTACCTGGGTATTTGGCCAACACACTACTCAAACAAGACCTTGGATTTGCACATTGCCGCGTGTCCTCAGTGGTACTCTGGCCCAGTCCGGCCAGCTCCTCCTCGTAAAATGTATTCCCGTTTCCAAGGCCAAGGATCGGCCTACTTGACTTGGGCCTTCTAAAAACCATTGTTCGCAGCAACCAAATGCCAAATGGAGGAGATAGGTAAGTCCTCCCAGTTTCTCCAAGATGAAGCTTTTTTAATTATTGCTATTAATATTAAATAGATCTCATTCATACAGTGTATGAGTAGATCATTTGGGAAATTGTCCGCAAGGACCAATTTTTAAAACATGTTCCTGTGTTATGGCTGAATAGTCTAGTAATGTTTTGTCCCTTATTTTCAATATTTGATGAACATTTCGGTGTTGAAATTTTAGGTGATAGATGCTAGTACATTACTGTGTTGTAATAAAAGTGAGGTTTTCTTGATATATATTTATTAAAATGATCAAAAATCATTAAGTTTTTACAAATTTCATTTTAATGGCTATTTCTCTTTTCCACAATTCTCTCTATTTAAAACAAAACAAAAACCTGTCAGGATGTCTAGAAACTGTGCATGGAGGCCACACATGTGTTCATTATGAATGAGCCCGGTCCCAAGCCATAGTGGATGAAAGGTCAATTAGTGGTTTCACAGCCCGGAGATCGAGAGTGGTTTCCCCTTCCACCCTGCATCCATGTTTCTTAGAAGCTAGCGTTGTACTTGATAAAGGGGAGGTCTAGTTGAAGGGAAATTAATTTGTCAAACATATCAACTGTATTATAAGTGTAGTGCTGTGCAGAGATTTAAATATGAAAGAATGGATTTGCCCTTTTGCTTTTTTAACCCCAGCATTTCCAGACAGTGTGATGATCTGAGTACATCCATCATGGGTTATTTGGGGGCCGGGAAATTAAGATAGGGTCTTACCACATAGCCCAGGCTGACTCAACTCCCCCCCCCCCCCGCCTCCACCTCCCAAGTGTTGGAATCTCAGGTGCTGACAAAGCCCTTGGAGTTGGCAATGTCGGACAGTGCTCCCCTGAGCAGGAGCAGGCTCCACTCAGCAGATTTTCCCATCCACGCGTGGGCATCTGTGGTTGTCAGTCTTCTGGGGTTTGTTTCAGGACATTGCAATAGTAATAATAATAATAATAATAATAATAATAATAATCATCATCATCATCTCATTTTATAAAATAAACAAAGAAAAAATGAAAGGCCCTATCCCAGCATCCAAATTACAGAAACCTTTCATGGTCACTGTGAGTGTGTGAACGCTTCCGGTGTAGTTCCTGACACCCAGGCAGCCCTGGCTAGATCTCTCAGGTGCCCAAGGCACCCCCCCCATAGTGAGTGACGACCCCTTTAACTGGTTTCTTTGTGAAGTTTAGCCCATTTCTCATATTAATAAGCTAGATGTGATGGCTTACACCTTTTCACCCAGAACTAGAGAGGTGGAGACAGAAGGATCCCTGGAATTTTTATTTTTTATGAGTTCTCTTAGCCTAATGGGTGCGCTTCGGGCCACTGAAAATACCCTGTCCCAAAAAACAAGGGGACGGCTCTTGAAACACAACACTTGAAGTTGACCTCTGGCCTCCACAGGCACAGGCATGCAAGTGAACATACAACCATCCCCCCATGTATACATGTGTACACACATGAACACAGGCATAAGAGCACAAAAGTGGTCCTAGGCTATTAGTCAGAAGATCGCTTGCCCAGCATGCACACGGCTCTGGACTCAATCCCCATCATTGCACACGGAATGGGCCACACCTGTAATGATCGCTTGCCCAGCAAGCACACGGCTCTGGACTCAATCCCCACCATTGCACATGGCACAGACCACACACCTGTAATCCCAGCTGGGGAGGTAGCATCCTCGGCTGTTAGTCAGAAGAACGCTTGCCCAGCATGCACACAGCTCTGGACTCAATCCCCATCATTGCACATGGCTGGACCACACCTGTAATCTCGGCTGGGGCAGTAGCATACAGCTGCACGGCAAGCATGAAGACAACCTGGGATACTTGAGACCTGGTCTAAAAATGGGAAAAAAATCTGTTCCCCAACACTGCTCCCCTGCAGCTTCTGTTTCATGTTTGTAGCCCAGTGGTCCCTGTCCTTCCTCTCTGACTGGGTAGTTGCAGGAGCTGGATCTCACAAAGGCACTGTCTGCCCCAACTCTTATTATTATTTTTTTTTTAGGCAGGAAACTATGTAGACATACTGGTCTCTAACTCACAGATACCCTCCTGCCTCTACCTCCCAAGTCCTGAGTTGAAAGCAGTGAGCCACCCCAACAACTGCGCCGACTCTTAAAATCCTGTTACCTGAACTATACCCTGAAACAGCTTAGGTATAGGATGCAGGGACCAGGAACATGGAGGATGGTGGAAAAGCTTAAAAGCAGTAGAAGTCGCCATTTAATAACCTGTCATAATTAGCAAAGCATCTTTGATGTAATCTTTCAAGTCCTGGAGACTTTGAAGGTTCTACCTGCCACTTTGTCACCAAGTGGTCAAGCATGCAAACGTAGGTGTCATGCTTCATGCATGTTCAGATGTGACCGTGCTGGGTATTGGGAGTACACAGGAAGCAGACTCCAGCCGAGCATGGTCACAGCCTCTCCAGTCAGAAACATGCAACACAGCTGCACCAATTGCTTCCTTCCTGAGAACCAGAGCAGAAAGCTTGAAGGAGACCCAGGCTCCAGGAGATGCCAGTGTCAGGGCTGAACAGCAGACGAGGTGGCTTCTTCCACTGCGGTTAGGTATCCCTCTCTCTCATGCAGCTGAGAGCAGAGGAAGAGATGAGCTGTTTAAACCCATGTCTGTAACGGGTCCCTAAATGAACTCGTACGGTTACCACATCTTGACCTATCTTTCTAGGCCTCTGCAAAGCCAACGATCAGTATCGTAATGGCGTCTCTGTCCCACGGAACAGTCCAACAAAGAGAACACTGAGATTGGTGTGTTAGGTGGAAAAGAAGCTATGAATTTCGGCAATCTCTTTTAAAACTGCTGGGTGTGTGCTATGTGTGTACTGTATACGTGAGTGTGCAGGTCACATATACGCAGGGAATTTACCAGGTCACCTAAGGTGGGCTCACCCCACCCACTCTCCATTTTATTTTTTGAGACAGGGCCTGTCACTGAACTTGAAGCTCGCTGATTTGGTTAGACTGGTTAGCCAGTGAGTCCCAGGGCACCTCCTGTCTCTGCCTCCCCAGCGCTGGGATTACAGTCATGTGTTGCCATGCCTAGCTGTTACATAGGTGCTAAAGAGGGAGCTCAGGCCCTTGTTTGTGCAGCAAACACATTACTGACTGAACCATCATCCTAGATCCTCTAATTTTTGAGATGGTGTCTCTCTGGGCCTGGAACTTTCTGTTTCAGCTAGACCGGCTGGCCGCAGGCGAGCCCTGGGGCCTCCTGTTTACACTGTCTCCCAGCACTGGCATTGCAGGTACCCATCACCCTACCTGGCTTTTGACATGGGCGCTGGGTATCCCTAACTAGATCCTCCTGCCTGTATGTTGAGCCTGTCCCCCTCGTCCCAGCCCCATTGCTGTGATCTGATTCCGTAGTTTACGACAAATGCATTTGGGATCTTGTCACTTGCTAGCAGGCACCAGCCGTTGCTTTCTCGGAGGTACAGTTGCACTGTGTGAGCAGGGTGGATTCTCTGCACTTTACTAAAATCTCCCTGTTGGAAGAGGTATGCTCCATGACCCGCGGTGGGACTGTTTAGAATCGGCTTCTATGTTAGCGGGAGAACTCACTTAGGAAAAGTACTTGCAAGGATGGAGCCATGAGTACTTGAGTCTCACATCCTGTGCTGAAGTGCATCAGCAAGTGAGTTTAATAAAACATGCTGTCTAAAATAGCCTGTAATTTCCTGTCTCTGCATTTCCCCTCAGTATCTGCGACAGGCTGGAGAAGGATGACTAAACGGGACTCACACAGCCGAGTCTGCTGCTGGTCGCAACCCTTGCCGAGATGCTACAGCTTTTGTAAACAGCTCTCTGCTGGGCCATGCCCCCCCCCCCACTTGGTGTTGATCCAATTTGTTAATTTTGAAAATGCAAACTACTGAGTCATAGCTTGAAACACCTGCTTT